TACTTAGTCGTTCAACAAATCCCAATAAGAGCATCACAAAAAAACACCACAGGAGATCTTGCAGACCAGAGACGATAAACAATTAATGAACTAATTAAATTATTGCCAGCTACATACTGCATTTCCAAGCCGAACATAGCTGTTTTAACTCCTTCATAACTACAGTGGAGAAATAGTAAGTGTTGATAATTAGCACTGAAAAAGGACAATTCTGGGACAAAGAACATCATAACTCTCCCATGAGAAACGCTTGTACAGGGCTACACGGCTGGGCAATTGACAGCTTGATCTCCTGGAAGGCAACAGACTGAACTCCGCACAGTTGTTCAGGAGATGCACTACATAACTAATAATCAATTCATTTTTTAAAACCAATTTTCCTTCTCTCATTTGAGAGCGATTGCAAAAATGGGAAACGCTTGCAATGTGACCCCATGGTATCCCATCAACTAAAATTAAACAAACACAAATATAATATGAATTATTTTTAAAAAATACAGCATTCATGCAAACCCATTAATCTTAAAATTTTATTTTCTCACTGTCTTTATTAAAAGAGATATTGCAATATACCCAAGACTTTCAACACAGTTTAAAAAAAAAGACATACGCAAATAACTTTCGATCAAGGTGCAGCTTTTGGTCAAACTACTACATAGGATAACTTTGAAGGTGGTTGCAGTGATAACGGAGTAATAAAATATGAAAACATTTGAGTGAAAATACTACACAAACTAATAAACACACATTCTTGATTACTGAAAAAAGTTTCACTGCATATCTGAAAGCTACTCAGGAAGGAAAGCAATACAAATTCAAGCTGAAAAATATGCAAGTTTCAAAAGCCACTCTGTTGGACTTCCAATATCTGACAGCAACTAGAGATGAAATTTATGAAATATTGGAAAGTCCTGTAAACATATAGATTTTCGTCCACAATTCACACATTCAAATAAATAATGTTAGTTTTTACTCTTAAATAATTAACATTTTACGTGAATGTATTATGTCCTGTTCAGAAGCCATGGCAACAACACAGGCATTGAATATATTTCAAAACAATCACAAATGGCAAAATAAAGAAAAGAATAGAAAAAAAGTGTGTCAAAGAAGAAAGAAAGAAAGGAAAGAAGGAAGAAAGGAAGGAAGAAAAACCTTGCCTTGAAAAAGTTAATATAGGAGCCGCAGTGGACATTGTCCAAAATAAGTAATAAAAACTTACTTCTATGGTCTTCTAGGGACTAATGGAGAAAATTGAGCAATGTGTGAATAATTTGTAACTTAAAGAGGAAGTGCTAATACATATGCTGGAAAGGCAGAAACTCCAATTTTTGGTATAAGAACTTATATTAAAAGCATTATTTTTCTGCAGACACTATCTTAACACTAGTTACACAGAAATGTAAGATTGAGCAATTGAGAAAACTGAAGTTGCAACATTGTGTTGCCTGTAGTAGAAGTGCACGCAAATATAATGATGTGTTCTGTAGATGTTCCATTTGTGCAGATTTTGTATAGAATTCCAAAATGACATGTTGATATAGGCATAATTGATAAAAGCATAAAATGCCATACGAATATAAGACTAGGTACATTCCTAAATACCTCATTTGAAGAATATGAAGGTGTCTTGATATTAGCAGATTAAGCTCAAGGATTAGGCTTTGGTTAGGATATAAATTTTTTACATAGCATTTCCATGTGTCGAAACTCCTAGCTGTTGAAGTAACTAAAGCTGCAAGATGATAAAAATACCACTTGTATCTATAATACTTAATTATACTACCAGACATATTCTCAACCTCCTATCCTGAATCTGCTGGGCAATTCAGACTAATATTTTGGAATGGATTGATAAAGAGAAAAATGGCAAAACAAACAAATGGCATTGAAGAAAAATGCGATGCGAGCATGAATGAAAATTGTTGCAGATATTTTGTGACATCATGCACTTGATGAGGTCATGTGAACTTTTATCGCCGATTGGCAAGAGCGAACCTACGTTTTGCCAAGAGATGGGAAATAAATAAAATCACACTGATAGAAATACAAATTCTACATCTAACCATAGAAAAAGATAAAAATAATGTTTTTCAAAGCAAAATCTTCACAAACTGGTAATCTCGGCGCCATCTACCACATTACCCACAAAACAGAAGATTAGAGATGTAAGTGTTCACAGTTCACAACTCAATTACATGGTGGGAATTTAAAATATATTATGTTAAAGAATGAGAAAGGATAGTTAAAGAATCTGAGACCATGAACAAGAGCGGGACAGGAAGAAAAGATGGTGATACAGAAGGAAATGAGTATATGAGTTAGGTCAGAGATCCCACAGCTCAAGAAATCATGCACAGATTGCACTTCTGTCCCTTCTTGAACCTTTTATTGGCATTAAATAAAATTTAAAAAAATGTTTCTAGGTGGTGCCAGATGAAAGACTATGGGCCTGTTACATAAATGTTCAATATGGAATCCATAAGCTTACTCGTTCAATAAAATAGTCCACAGTAGCAAAACGTGTTTCTAGAACAACCAATAAGAGTTATGAAACCTGTAAGGCTTTCTATAACTTATAGGTCCTGAAATGGGAATACAAATGCTTATCAATTCTACAAATAAGCAATATGGCAGTTCTGTGCACTGCTACTAACAGCTGTTTACTAGTGTTCAAGGTTATTGGGGGTCATCTGTGTGTTGTTTTGTGCTTTTGTGGCTTTTATGAATTTTATTTGTTGTATTGTGGGCATTTTAGATGTATTTGCATGTGTTGAAATCAGTGAATTCTGTATTCATACATTATTTTCATGTGTTGTGATGAGGACTAAAGATTAAATTTGGTTATGAAAATATGATAGTTTTTGCTATAATATTTTCTTTTTTTGAATAATTTTTCACCTAGCACCAATATCAATCAATTTCCATCCCATGCTCACGTGCGGCATCCGACACCTTTGAAGACGATACAATTAAGGCAGATTGTATCCGTACTGGTGAATAAATAAGGGCAGAGCAATAAATGAAAAGAACGGTTTTTCAATTATGCTCTATTTCAAAGATTTGTAAAAGAATAGTTCAGCCCACACTTAGCCATTCGTAGAATCGTCAGTGAATATAATTTGCACTTATGATATTTGGTTTGTCATAAACAATAATTTTCAGTTGTGAAATGATTTCTTTCCAATAAATTGATAACCAAGGTTACAAAATTTAATGATGAATAAATGAAAAAAATGTTTTCTTGTAAGTACTAGTATTAATATCAGTATTACAAATAAAATTTGAATAATTTAAATGATTTGCCTCTAATTAAATTTTTTAAATGCCATGTTTTTGAGCATTTTTGCCTGATTATATTTGACATCTTAAATGCCTTAACTTCTGGGCTCTTCTTGTATTAATGTGTACTACCTAATTGTTTCGATAACAAATTGATTATTACTTTATATTTTAAAGAGATTTGAACAGTAGTTCATTATTAATTAACATTTATTATTAATTGTATCAGCAAAAATGAAAAATTAATACTTGAATTAAGAATAGAAGGTATATTCATTAATTTACTTTAAATAGCCAATCGCTAATATAAAGAGTTAATTGTATTCAATATACTGTAAGAACTAAACAAAAAATAAACTAAAAGGATAATGAAATAGCTACTGAGAACATATAGAGAAACACAAGAAAAAACACCTCAATAGATTGCAACACACACTAAGAACATGCAAAATTCTGTAATAAGTAGTACTGAAATATTGACAGTGTCGCTATCTATTGGTTGCAACTGTAAGTTCTTGTTGAATCTATAGTAATAGTTTCTATACATTTGCTTTAAGCAATGGTGTATGGTTAAATTTTATTGAACCTATTGCTATTGAATCCATAAGGATAGCTTAATGCAATCGGCTCTAAGAATGCTAATTCAACATGTAAAACTTTCAGCAGGGTCTAAAATGTCAGAGGACATCAATGTGTAGGAGGATGGCCAAAAAGAAAGAAACAATGATATATAAAATGATAAAGGAGGCGGTGACCCCTCTCCCCCAAAAAACAAGAAGAAAATTGAGAATGACAAGAGATTTTGATGAATTTAAGAGCAAGATAACAGTGATAGCTCAGGCAATAAGTTTTAATATTACAAATTAGATAAAGCATTTTATATACCAGGATGTCTCAGGCTGGGTACAGGAAATTTGCATTTATTTCCAATGTGTGAGCCTACTTGTGGGAGAAGGAGGGCAGGAGAAGGGGAAAATGTGAGACAAGAGAGAGGGGAGGTGGGACAAAGTGGATGTGGTGACAGAGGAGTGGTGGGGGCAGAGGGGTGGTGGGGACAGAGGGGTGGTCGGTGCAGAGGGAAGAGTGAGGAGTGTCAGCGCAGGGAGGAGGTGATGGCAGGGGAGTCAGGGGGAACCGGGCCAGGAGAGGCAGCGTAAGGGCAGGCTGGCGTGAGAGTAGGTTGGCATGAGGGGAGGCCGATGTGAGGAGTGTCAAGAGTGAGAAGCGTCAGGAGAGAGAGGCGTCAGGAGTGAAGGGCTGAAGGTGTGAGGGGTGGCACGTGTGAGGGATGGCAGGTGTGAGGGGTAGTTCTCCTAGACAAGGCTAAGATGTTAGTTTAATGTTTCCTTGCAACTTCATGACTTATATCTAAATAAAATTGCAAAATGGCCTTAAGCAAAACAAAAAATAATTTTATATATATATACATAAAAATATAAACGATGAGAGAAAAATCCCCTTCAATATTTCATGTACATTGAGATAATTCACATTCAGGTGATATGCCAACTATCTCATTTTCATCAGGAGCTGCCAGAATTGGAAGACTGGGTTCTGCAAACAAATTCTACTAATCTAATATTAGTAATTCACTCAGAAGATACCCTAGTCTGTGATGCCTTAGGGGATCTGGGAGCTATGCCAAATGGGATGGCAGCTACATCTTAGCAGGCTACAGCGGCAAGGAGGCAGGTAGTAAGTATGGAAGGACATATTACCGTGGCCCCTGGACTGGACGCAGCGGTGGTTACCTGCTGCGAGATGAGGGGAGGCTGCAATTGTAGCTGAGGTGGAGGCTGCTGGGCAGCAGCAACCACAGTCACGTGTTTCGCTGGCGATCCCATACCCTGGTACCCAGGTGGGCACAGGATGGATGACACCAACTGGTGTTGATGGAATGGATCCCCTCGGGCTGCTGCAGCACCACCATATTGTCTTGCTGCCACTGCAGCTGCAGATCTTCCTTGATACAGTTGGTACTGCAAGCAATACATTAAATCTTTATCATTCTTGTAACACAATGGTAATTCAGTGAGAAGAAAAATCGAACTTCATGAAATCACGTGAGAAAAAGACAAAAAGAAGAAACTAAAAATAATGAAACTTATTGGTACTATGCTTAAATTAAATTTTGTTTTTGCTCATGCATGACAGCAAATACAATTGTATTATTTTTCATAAAATTTAAAATAAATAATTTACAATTAAAGAAATTAAAATTAATTTGAACACAACTAGAAAAATTGGGATACACACGAGAAAACATCAACAGTAACATCTAAACTAGTGGACACATGTAAAAACATGCCTGAAAAATAAATTAATCCAGGCAAGCAAGCAGTAACTCTCCAGGCAGGTCATTTAAAAAATAATAAAGTGGGGAAAATAAACTAAATATATACTTTAAAGTAATATTTTAAAGCCTACACTAGTTCAATTTTCTAAAATAAAAATGTGCAAACACCACCTACCAATTTAAACTTCAATTTTTAAGAAATATAATGCAATTTTTGACAAATTATTAAAATAAGCCAACTTCTTTATAAAAAACTAACTTGGAGAAATAAAACATTGGTAGCAAAATCAAACAAAAAAGAAGAATTTGCATGGATAAATAGATAAAATAAAGTTTTAGAATTTAAGCTCCAAAAAATTATGAAATGAGATGATACCCAAGTGACCCCAAGCTACAGCTTGTGTGCCAAGAGAGCCACTGAGCAGCCCTGCTTAAATGTTAACTTAAAATGAAAGTAACAAGCTGAAAGCAACGAACCAGGTTGTCATATCCGGTGGCCCTCTCCCTCACCAGGCGCTGTACCTGATTGGTCAGTTGGTTGTTGAAGGTGAGGGTCACGTTGCCGTTCGAACTAGGCACAAAGTTAGCCACAAGGGGTGGTGGGGGAGGTGGAGCCTGCTGAGTTGCTTGGTGATGAGAAGATGAGCCAGATCCGGCATATGGAGCACCACTACCTCGCCGACACACTTCCATCATCTGAACACTAGCCTTCACATTGTTGCAGTGGGCATAGTCCACTAAATGAGCCAGTGTCACGAAGCCGTGGTTCAGGGCTTCTCCAGGAGTGATGCGACGCTCCTGAATCCAGAAGACAGAATAGTCGCAAAATCTGTTTTGCTTTTATGCACATTAGAAAAAAAATAATAATAGATAAACTCTGAGGGATAGCACAAACTTTTTATTGGAGTTTCATTTCAAAATTAAAGGAGTGTAGTTCTAATTAATTTCATCAACCTGACATAAATATTGCTACCTGGTCCATGGTCAACATTCTTTTCAGGAGATCAATGAACTCTCGCCGGTCAGCTTTTTCAGCAAGTAATTCACCCCCTTCAAGATCTGTAGGCACATTCACTTGTCCAATATCATCCAGACAGTTGAAAATATACTTGCGAGCCTCTTTGGATTTGATGCCTGTTTCAGCTTCATGCTCTTCAGGAGTCTGCAGGAAGTGTGAACAATGACAGTCATATGAAGACACTTCCAAATATCAAGACATCAATTCCAAATTGATATGTTGTTACTCACTTTAAGTCTCCAGAAAGGATAAGTGCTATCCATATCACGATAAAAAAATTTTGTTGTTTTGGATGCATTGTTAAGCATATGTTCTGTGGGTAGTCCCTGTGTCTGGCTAATATAGCGAATTTGGTCATACTCTGAAGATCCTGGGTAAAGGGGCCAACCCAAGAATAGTTCAGCCACAACACACCCTAAGGACCACATATCGATTGCTTCACAGAACGGCAAACCTGTAATGCAGCAGAATTTTCTAGTTCATATTTCTTATAAGACATTAACTTTATTAGAAGTTTTCACCACATAATTGAATATTTAATTCAGAACCAAATAAAATCACCTCTTACCTAAAATAATTTCTGGAGCTCTATAGTAACGACTCTGAAGATAAGTATTACATACGGCCTTGCTGACATGTGATGCACTTCCAAAGTCAATAACTTTGACTCTGTATGGTTGTCTTACAGGATCCACCAACATGATGTTCTCAGGTTTTAAATCCGCATGTATTAACCCAAGTTGCTAAAAGGATCAAGTAAACGTAGAAAAACTTAAGACAATTAAATACTCACATCTCCACAAAAAAAGTGAATCAATAATTTGAACAGCTCACAATTAAACTAACAAATGAAATGTTTTTGTCATTAAATTCAGACCATTCTCATTAACTGGCGTTGCTGTGCCTAGAAAATATCTTTCTACTTCTGATCATTAAACTAGAACAAGAGCACCAGAGGAAGGAAATCTAATGACACATGCAAATTTTTCTAATGACACATGTAATAATAAAAATCTAATGACACATGTAAAAATTTCAGGGGAGACTAAAAGTCAGAGGACGATGAATATATAAAAAAATCTATATCTATCTACAAAATATACATAGAACATTCAAATATCTAATTTACAGTAGCACTTAAACATTGCTTTCTTAAAAATGGCTACAAATTTCTTCAAAAGAAATTGCCATTGAGGGCGAGGTTTTATTGTTCTTTGATATTCTGAAAATAATATTTCTGTTCTACAATTAGGAATAAAAAAAATTAAGAAAATGTCAAAACAACGTACTTTGGGCAGCGATAATGGCATCTGGCAAATCCACATAGCTATCCGAGACCAAAGGAAATAGAAAACTAGTATGGGAAAGTCCGTGCTGTCTATTCTGTAGTTAGTAATTTTTGTAACATGTTTTTATAATGAAATTTATGTCCCTGTTTACCTACTTATTAAAATTTGTTTTGAAAAATTAAATGATTTTTAAAAAATGTCAATCCAATTATACACAATGACAAATTAATCGCTATGTAAATGTTGCAGCAGGCCTGCCAGGGAGTTACAGTTATACTATGTGAAAAACCAATGTAACTCACTTTCAATTTCAGGAGAGCTGTCAAAACTTGCTGAAGAATTGGCCGGATGTACTTCAAAGGCAAAGGGCTGAACTTGTTTTGCTTGAGGAAATCATATAGATTTTGTTCAAGCATTTCAAATACCAGGCATGTATGATTTTTGTGCTGGAAGCACTCATATGCCCGAACAAAATTGAACTCGTCAGCATTTTCTTGACTTAAACGAGATAAGATACTAACCTGAAAAACAACAAAAGAGGTCGTATTAATTACTTGATATCATTTGGATGCACATCTGCATAATAATACACAAATGATACACATGAAAATAAAATAAATAAATGTCGATACTTACTTCAATCTGTCCCTGCCGTGCATATGATGGATGGTTCTTCAAAATTTTTATAGCAACTATTTCATTTGTGCCCTTTTTCCAGCACTTCACAACCTGTCAAAAAAAACATTTCATCTATATAGAAATATTTTCGTTAGTAGATCAATTCTCTTTGAGTTTCAACTAGCAAGATGGTAGTAAAATCGATCGTCATAAATCTTTCAATATTAAGTTAATCTATGAGCAGAGCAAGGAAAATCAATTACGTAAATATACACAATGATATCAATATTGTTAGTTAAGATTCAGAACGAGTATGCTAGAACATTGCTTCACTACAATACAATCATTGTGTATAAAGAGGTGACATATCAATTTTGTCAATAGTTTAATCGCAAAACTGAAATGTCACTTATCCCCCTACGCACAATGATAGAAATGTAGTAAAGCAATGTTCTTGCATACTCGTTCTGGACAAAAAATTGACTTATCCCCTTTTACCCGCCAAATTTAATCTAAGATTTTGAATAATTGATTAGTGATTCTGGGTGAATCAATTGCTAAAGTGTTATAATTGTGGGGCATGCTTCAGTTGCGAGAGGTGGCGATGATCTTCCTCAGCCGGACAGTGAGATCCCGCACCAACCTTTGTAGACTTGCAGATTTTCCCCCAAACGGGTATCTCCCACGAGCGGAACATTGCACCAGTTCTTGCAAGTATCCACTGCCCACGTACATGAAATATACAGTGTAACCAGTACAAATCAGTACCTGTCCAAAAGTACCACGCCCAAGGAACTCCAGCACCTCGTACTGCGTGGTCATGGAGTAGAGCACCTCGTGTTGCACCAGCTGGTAGTCTCCGTCGGCGCTCGACGAGCCTTGGGGCTGTACAGCCGCCTGCCCGCCGGCGCCGGCGGCCTTCGAGGTCGTGTTGTTCGTCGTGGTGGCGGTTGCTGTGACCGCGTGCACACCCACCGCCGCCGCCACAGCTGGCCCCACGCCGGCTGCGCCCGCCGCCGCCGCTGCTGCTGCTGCCGCTGCCGCCGCCGCCGCCGCCGCTGCTGCTGCTGCTGCCTCGGCACCCCCACCCCCACTACCACCATTCCCCTCACGCTCGCACGACTTACGCTGTAAAAAAACAACAGGAAAGGGCTCACTCTCAGTCTCAGTGCAAAACAATTACCAAGTGAACACAGACAAAACCACTAACAATAGATCGAAAACCTCAAGGTTATTTGAACATAGTTTGGTGGCTCCCAAGGGAAATGTGGCACTTTAAATGCGCAATAAATAGAATCCACCAATCAAGTCATGAAAGCTACTTCACTGGCCACAAGCAAAGATGTCAAACCAACCATCAGTATTCATCGAATGTGAAATACATTCAAGTTAGATCTTAATCAGTGCCAGGGAAACAATAAATCTTCAATATTAAACTAGTGCAAAAAAAATAAAGATTTTCAAAAAATAAAATCTAAGAGATAACCACACCAAACTACACTCTTTGTTCAAATACATGTAAGTTCTTAACAGCAATAAACAAAAGCACAAAGTGAAACGTATAATATTTTAAAAGCTTGTAGTTTCTATTATTCTTGAGCAAGTGTTTATAGGTGTATCGTAAAAATGAAATACTTACAATACACTTTAGGCAATTGAAAATAAAAGTGCAAGCTTCTTCATGCAATTGAATTTGTATATAAGCAGAACGTCAATAATTCAAAATTAAACTTGGATTTTCTACATTTCATTTTAACCAACCTTATGTTATATTTGGAATTCTACAAATTGAATTTCACTATGTTTAAATTTCAATTTTTCAATAACAGTAACAAGATGCAGAATTATAAGGAACAAACTGGGAATATTAAAGTTATTTAACTATTCTTTTTTATCAGATGTGAACCATTCAAAGCATGAATTCTATTTGTAAGTAAAAGATGAATAAATTCAAAGATGTGTCGACTATTTCTTTTTAAAGAATAGCTCACCATTTTAATTGTATTTGAGTCACTCTATAAGGGATTTATTTAATTTAATTGATTACATGGGTGTTCTTTTCTCTTTGAATTTGAGATATTGATATTCCACTGTAGTGTTATCATGATATTCAAAATGAAAGGAAGCGAGATGATAGCATGCTTTCAACAAACTTCTCTCAAATAGAAAGACTTCCGCAGTATCACAACACTATCTTCTCACACAGTATGTATACGTTTACTCATCCACAGAAACCCAGGGAATCTCATTAATTAATAATTATTGATAAGATCTCAGAACTTAACAGTTTTGGGTGACTATTTTAAATTCATTTACCTATTCAACAACTGAACAATCAGAAAATACCAATGCGTGCAATTTTGTCTGTGATTCAGAGACGAAGTGTTTTAGATGATTTTATATGGAATGATACTATCCAAATATGGCACAGCAAATTATTGTTTTGTTTTATTGTTAGCGTTTCTTTACAGCATTTTTCTTCCTAAATATTTTCATAAAGGACTAACTTTCAGCCACCTTCAACGAATATACTAAAAACTATTTGACAAACAAGTCATAAAAAGAAAGAAAGAAATATGTAACAAATTATGTAGAAGGCAAAAGTGTCAAAGGTCAGGTTGCTCTGAAGTGTAAAGAAAATGTAAAAACTGCTAAATACTTCTGTGGTTATATGAAAGAATCTCATGAGTGTTCACCATGAAAGAACTTCACATTTGTTAAAGAGAGATTTTTCTTCCTTCTATTGCTTCATCCTTACTCTACCGAAAAATGTGTGTTCAAGTGGACAGTGGAAATTAAAAAAAGCTGCAAAAATTGGTACAAGACAAGCTACAGTAGTTTCCTTGCTTACTAATACACTGATGTGGCTAACTGGTAAAAAAGTAAACTTTTAAGAAAGGAAATAATGACTTTCAAAAGGAAATCCTCCTCTCAGCCAAGAAACAAGGTAAGTGCAAGACTTGAGAATATTATATTCATTCATTCATTCATTCCATATCACCTTCCACAATATTATGAAGACATGCCAAGTGTAACACTTACCCATGCAAAGCTAAGATGCCAAAAGCATCAACATTATGTTGGTCTTAGATGAAAAAAGTGCAAGAGAGAGACTGGACAATGAAGAGAGTAATGAAAATTAAGATTGAAGAACATTTGTAACATGTGAAATTTTTGCTTTTAAATGACTTTGGTGCAGGTAACAAAATTGTTAAAAATTGCTGTGTACTTCTTATTAAAAAAATAATCATCACTTGTAGGAATATTCTGTAATGGTTCCCATGTAATAAAAATACATTACATATGACATACTGAAAAACCTTAACATTTTAGCCTAAACATTTTGAATCTTTATGACAAACAAACCTAGAATTGACAAAAATGTAAGGTTCTTGCATTCACTCACAGAATTCAGCAATTTAAAATGTTAAACAATACAATTTTAACAGCATCATCATATTAATTTTATGATTGAAAGTCCATACGACATGAAAGCTCTAAAACTTCTGTTTCAAGTCCAGAGCTGCAAGTGATCAATATAGTACGAATACACGTAAATTATAACAAAATAATAAAACAAAACATTATTTCTGGGTTATTCATAATGATTATGTTACACAAGAGTATTGCAATTTGTATCCCACTAATAAGCCTTACTGTTCAGTATATTGTGCTCTATCATTACAAAAAATTAAAAGAAAAAAATTGGATCTCCTTCTGAAAAAATATTGTATTTTTGGAAAGCTACCATTATTGAAGCCCAAATTACACGAAAACTCATAATCTCTTTGAGGTAACCAACAACAACCTGTACTTGAAAGGATGTAAAGTGATAAAGACAATGACACTACAAAACAATGACACAGACCTTTGACAATACAAAATTCATCTTCTGCTCTGATGTCAAGTCCCTCTAGACATTGTTTTCTTTCTCTTCTGAGCTCTGAATTCATCCGAACTTCCACAGGATGTGCATGATTACGAAAGAAAAAATTAACAGATGTCGATCATGCCATTGTTAAATTTCAGAAAGCTTCTACTTGATTAAATCTATCCTAATATAAACTAAATGGATGCCTTGTGTATCTCTTTCAATAGCTCAATGTGATACAGCCTGACTAGACAAGCTAGAACCTGAGTTCAATTTCCAAATTGTTTTCTGGAAATTTTGTCAAGAACAAAAGGTGCCATCTAAAATAGAACATGCAGTGCAAATCACACCATGTTTATTGTCATGTCATTTTGATTTGTGAATGTTTATTAATAGAGAGGATTTTTATGCCTCAAAAAAAATCTTGAAATATCTTTTAAAAATGTGCATTATGACCTAAAAATTCTGATCTATGCACTTTAGTATGCAATTAAAATTAAAAATATTTCATTCCCTGAATAAACTCTTCGTGATAAAATTCTGGAGAAGTACACGTAATAAAAAGATCTATTTTTGTGCACACATAATATAACCTAGCTTACTTTGCGGGAGAAATAATTGAAGTAATATGAAATATGCACCTTAGTGAAGTATATTGCATGTCTTGATTAATTTTTTCTGCCTTGTTTAAAACATATATGATGTCAAGAAATATCCTAAATTTTCACAGTATTTTATTATCAATAGAAAAGGGGAGAAAAAAGAAAGAAAGAAAAGAAAAAGAAAAGAGCAAACCATGACAATCTCTTTGTCATCAATGCTCACAATGAAATATGTTTGTGTATGCAAAATATGCACCAATAGGAAAAACCGGTCAAATATACAAAAACATATTAATCAACATAGTATCCAATTCTAATCAAATGTCAAGAAATTTTACTTAGCTATTCCCTGAAGCAATGGACAAAAATATGCAAAATCGTAGAAGTCCACTCCCTATTTATTAGACTCTTAACTGGTTAGAAAGGTGATGATGTGAACCACACTGTGTTTTAAGTGTTTCTTTACAAAAACACCTTTCTTTTGTGATTCAAAACTTACGGACTGTGACGGCCAAGGTAACATATCAGTGGGGTATAAGTAAAAAGTTGACAGGGGCACACAACAAGAAAAATCAAGAATGCAAAGGGTAATGAAAGAAATATCTGGCTACAACAATGAAGATACAGAAGTTTGTGTAAAAGTTAATACTTTGGCAATTTTCAAAATTCCAGAAGTTTTTTAAAAAGTCTGACTTGCACAGTATTGTTAAGGGCACTTTACTAAATTTGTGCAAGGATTTATTTTTATTTGGAGTCATATTCAAAATATAATGTTGAAAGTATCCTAAGGACTTCCTTTGAACCCCCCAAAAATTAAACAATCCATTTCAAATTTGCAGGGTCTTGAATTTAGCCAGATAATTTCAAAAATACCTACTTTGATGAGAATTTTAGATACAGTAGACACTTGTGTAGCAATTTTTAAACAATTACTTTCTCAAAAACACCTGCAAATTTTAACTTTTCATTTTTCTCTTGTATGTGGCAAGACTAAAATAATTTCTGCTGGACTCATTTTCAGCAACCTGTTTTCATTTTTGAAAATTTCAAGTACAATATTGACCATAGAGTTTTTCTGTTAAATAAAATCTATTCTAACCAGTTAGACCTTTAAATAAGGACAGGAGCAATTTTTTAAAAAAAATGGAGTAGTTCCCATGTAATTTCTGCTCGAAGTTAAAAAAAAGTATGAAAACAAACAAAAGAATGCTTTAAAATATGACATAGGTCACATTTTCATTGAACTTATTAAATTTTTCTACATTACAAAAGTTCGAAATAATACATGAAACCACTAGTTTGATAAGAGAGGTTGGTTTTAGCAGTCTGACATAGTGTAGAGGTAATTTCCTTGTGAGTAAACTCAAAGGACCTGAGATCAAACCTTGACCTGGAGATTTTTGCTGGTCGGAAACACTTACAGGTTCATGCAGTAGTATAATATAGCTAAGACATTACAAATATTATTGAAAAGTATGTGCTGTCACAATAACACTAGTTTCCATCAACATTTTAGTTAACATTTTTTGAAATTATAATACTAATAGTCAATTATTAATAAATTAATTACTTTAAATTAAATTTTAAAATGTGTCACAATTTCTTTTATTTACAGTGCTACAGATTTTCCTATTTACATCTCATTCAGAGCTATTTGAGTCCATCACGGGAAGAGGAGAAAAACACACACATACACATGACAAATTGTTCCTGCAATCAAATAATTTAGGCAGTAGTTTAAATAAAATTGAATTTGATTATAACAAGAACTATTTACAATAGGTTGTAAGATTGAAACAATACACACAGAAATTCTTATTAGTATTTTCAATTTTAAAAAATGTAATAAAAAATAACAACAAAATTATATTAAAATTTTGATATTTTTAAGAATGACAAGGGTCAGAAAATTTACAAAAATAAAACTAAATAGGAGATGTACAAGCCACTCTCAGCTTTGACACCACATTACACAAAAGTAGATAAGTTTAATAACTTCAAGTAAGATGAATCTTTCAACATTCTCCAACGAATCACTGCAGTGTTTAATAAACTCATCCATATAGTTCCATTTCTTTATTCTGAAAATGTACACCAACAGAAAAAAGCAGACACCACCATCATCATAAAATTCTTACTTTAGGAATCATATTTTTTAATTATTATTTATTGACGGAAACAAAGAGATATTTTTAGTAAACACTGTGCACTAATTCCAAAACTAGGTAGGAAGAACAAGTTTATAAGGGTAAAATTATGAGGATTTCACATTTTTTGCTGAATGTTCTGACTCTGCAAGTTCTGCAAGTTCTACAAGAAACGAATGAGGAGTTGGATGGAAAAATGGCTGAATCACAATAACAATTTCAAGTTTTCAATTGATATTTTTTCGTATTTTCTTCTTATGTATGTGATCTGACATAACAAAAATTAATTTTGTTAATCTCATTAAAAAGGTGTCGCAAATTTGAATTATCCCTTACGCTAAAATAGCAATGCAAGTATGTTGTAAGATGTATATTTGATTTATCCCTTTATTCATTTCAACTTCTGGTTGGGAGGCAAATTTCTAATTTGTTAAAAGAGGTACACATTTAGGATAGGCTTAGGATTTTAAAAAAATGTCATACCTGTAATAAAATTATACTACAATGCAGTGGATTCCTCATGAAATTTCAAGATAAGTTTCTCCCACCCACTCATAATCATGTGGCTCAGTTTAAGACCTTCTTTCATTCAATTCCTCAAATATTTGATTAATGCTCCACACTGATTAGAAGTGGATCTAACCGCTTCTTTTGAGGTGAACGGTTAATCATTCTACAGAAACTTCTAATGAATTTAAATTAACTGTGATATGCAAGGATTTTTCTCAGAACTAAGTCTTTTAGAACATGTCCAACTGGAAAGTGAAAAAGTGAACACTACAGTAAACATCCTAACAACTTATTTCAAATAATTACAGATAATGTATACATGTACAAATATAATGAACTACTATGAAGAATGTCAAGATAAGAATGCTCATCTCTCTTCACCAGTCTTCAATACACTCTTCAAAACAAAACTTAGTGTATGTTAAGAGATCCTAAGTCCTTTTTAAGCTTCATCCATGAAAAGTGAAAAAAACTCCTTCAAACATTAGAAAAATCCTGAGACCTTATAGTGTAACTGAAGTATATAATGAAGTATGTAATGGGTAATTGTGAGACTAAAACAGGGGAAAAATGCATCATGACACAAAACTGTTTTATACTTTAACTTCTTCAAATTTAGAATGAAAGCAAGAACTTCAACTGAAATTGTAGTGTATGATAATGTACATATCCAGGCATGGTTTATGCTGTATTTACATGACAATTATTATTATGATTATTGTTATTATTATTATTATTCTCATTAGCTATGGCAACACTGCTTGCCAACGTGATTCTGTAAAGATTATACCAGTCAGTAAAGATAATTTTATGAGAGAGCAGAATGTCTTTTGAGATTCAGATGCCTCTATTGAAAGAGAATAATTTTTTGTTCACAACCAAGATTTGCTTCCCTTGGTTTCCAGTGCAAAAGAAGAATAATACAAAAACATTCAATTAATTCAAAAATGAAAAAGGAATAAAACAAGCTCAAGAAAACTGACAACCTCCCAAATATAGTAATAGTTTGTGAACAATTATACAACAACAAAAATTGTAAATTTATTGATAAATTTTAATTGATTGCCCTTTCTCAATACAATACAATTTATTATCATTCACCACAGATTTGCATTTGTCTTTATTACTCAAATAAATGAAGTGGGTGTCATAAAGTGACACTCGATATTAGAACAGACTTGCCAAATTCAAAATTCAGATCTTAAAGTTCACAAACAAATACACCAAATTCATTTAAAACGCTAATTACACTAGAAACACACAAAAAAGGATTTTAGATCAACATATTTTAGTTACTGGATAGTTATTGAATGTTTCAGTAGGCACTAAACAATTCACTACAAAAGGACAAAAACATGCACTATTATTTAGTTTCTCCAACACCCTATTAATGTTTGAAACCAATTCATGAACACAGGGGCTGTGTACTAAGCACACACAAGCATTGGGAAGTATTACTGCTAATTCTTTTCACAAAACTATCACGAGAGATTTCTTCACCTTATTCTCTAGTATCAAATAATTATTTTTATAATGCAACTTTGATGTAAATATAAACATACAGCTCTATTTTTATTGGAAATTCCTGCCAGTTTTCAAAACGGGTTTGAAACAATCATTGACACAAATTACACACACTCACATAAAACATGCTCTTTTGAGTGACTGACCTGGAACCTGCTGCAGTTTAGAATATTTCATAATCATGTTCAATACATTGTTTGCCACACCCTTTGATATGTTCATGACTGCTGGAAACACATGCAGATCAAGTAGTGCTACAGAAGTCCAGGCAACATTGAATGGCAAAGTATTAGATGGCTACAAAGCTACACTGGCTTTGCTGGAGTTCAGTGACAGAATATGATGCCTGGACAATATAGTACAAATCAAATTAGAGAAGAAGTTACGCAATAGGGATAAATAATGCCACAAGCAAAGTGTGATTCCTTACAATAAAACTATATTTGTATCAACAATCAAGCATGCATAATGATTTTTGGGCATATACTTACACCATTCTCTGAAACAATTTGTTAACACAACTGATAAAATAGGTTGCCCATATCAATATCTTGGGTGAGAATATAAAATGTACAGAATTGTACCATTAATACATTGTCACATTTGTCAAAAGTAAATTCATTAACACTGAATTATTTGATTGCAATGCTGATAAACATAACTGGTTGTTTATTAACCTTTTGCATAGGACTTAACTGACACATATTACAAATATGATCATTTATAATATTAAAACAAATGAAAGCTAAATTTATAATACTGAAGCAGGTTGCAGGTTTACTTAATGAAATAATTAATTTATCTGAATTTTAAGAAAATTTGGAAACGTGTTACGTAAAAGAAACAGACAATTACACTTCAATAATAAATTATCTTCTGACAATATTAAAGTATAATTTTAGAAAAGCTTTTAATAATCATAAGCATAGATATGAACTCTGAATGAAAACAATTCTCTTTAGAATTTGTCGTTACACTAATATAATGACACTATAAGTTTACTTTCAGCTCTCATGCTTACATGCCATCATGCATTAATTCATGCAAGAACTCACCTTCTGACCGCAACGCTGATATGTATCAAAAAGTTTTATGGTGGATGCGCGAATAAACTGCTGAGGCATGCCCCCACTTGGGCTCTTGTGCTGGACATTGTTTGTATTTTGAGTGCGATGATGTCGTTGCACAACAGACTGGCTGACACTGTTGATCACGTTACTTGCATTTAGAGAGTAGAGACTGTCACCTCCACCACCAGTGTATTCAATTTGTTGTTGCTGATGTTCCACCTTACGTTTCTTGTGACCTTGTTGCAACGCCACCCCACTACTACTATTACTGGTGTGTTGGGATTGGATGAACATGTCATGCAGTCGCTGCAAATTAAAATACAATATATAGAATAACCTCAAACATTACACATTTTTACTGCAGTTTTAACACCACCCACTGACAACTGTCAATTCTCACGACTAAAACCAATTCATGAAATGTTAAATATGACAATACTTCGAATTACGTAAATGAGTACAGAGTTTTCTATTTAACTTGCACGGAATCTCTTTGACACAATATGGATCAATGTTATGTAAAACGAGGATTGACGGTCTGCTAGTATAAAGTAGGTTTCAAGATGTCGGATCCGAAAAGGGTACCACAGTTCTCACCAGCAAATGACACATCACTGATATACGAAATCCACATAAAATGAACTATTCCACACTTCGTTACCTCTCACTCTCCTGTTCCGTCGCGAAGGACTCCACTTTCATAGTGACATCCGGAACAAAGGGTCCTTCAAATTTCAGCCATCTTGAACTTCAAGCAGATTCTATGTTACTGTCCTCGGCCTATTTCAACGACACTTTGGGCGAAGTAGCCATTCACTAACCATGTACACATATACATGCACACCCACAATTACACCGTGTATGTTTGCAATGGGTAAACAAAACATTTACCCAATGTCTTCGCGTTTTCACTTCATCCCGTCGCTCACACATCCAAGTCGGGCTATTACGTACATCGGCCAGCGAGTCTAGGCTTAGTCAAATTAGTGTTTTATTTCGGAAGAAGAACAATATTAATTTTCATGACTTTATACAAACAATTTAAAAATCTTAATTATACATATAGGTGTAACAAAAGTTAATTCATCTGTAAAATTGTTTGTCGCACCCTGTTTAACACTGGTTATGAATTTGACTTTGTGAAATTTCCCCTCTGTCATACTTCGCAGTTGCAACGCCATCTTCCGAGAATATTGCGGGGAATGCGCAGCTACGAAGGGGAATTCCTTTCGTTACATTTAGAAAAATACATTTCTCTCATCACAATCAATGAATCAAAATATTCTCATTTTTTTCATTTGACGTATATTTATTTCGAAGCATATTATTTACGAAGCAAGTCATTCAGTTTGGATTTGAGCTATTTTTAAAATGCAATGTGGTGCATTCTATTTTGAACATTTAAATACTCCCATTAAAATTAGTTTGAATAAATAACTTCTATTCTCTATTTAAAATGGCAAATAATATGCAATGTTAAATAACCACGCAGATATTACACTGAAATTATCGATGAAGAGACCAGTACGTAAGCTTCCCAAACGATTAGGACCAAACTGACGTCAACGACCCGTGTCGTGCAAAATTTGTGGTCCTTTGCCCAATCCTGTGTGTGATCAAAACGATCAGACTAGTGTAGCTAAAGAGAGGGTCGGTTTCCATGGCCGAGTTTGGCGGGCCTTCTCGACTGAAGCTGGCGTAGCGCCGGCGGGGATGGCTGTGGCAACGCACACTACGGTGAGGCCTACTCGCAGATATCTTTAGCTGCTTCAGTGGCAAACCGCAATTACGTGTAAGTTTTTATTTTGTTAAATAAGCAAATAAAGATTCTCCTCCTCCCAAGTGTTCAATAAATTTTAGGACCTAAGACTGTGCAGATCGAGAAGTACATCGAACGAATCATTTCTGTTGTTGGCCTCTCGCCATGCACTCTAGCTCGTCCTGAGTCAGGAGAAAGTGGAACGGCGTGGGGCGCTTCGCTCCCTGCTTTGTCGCCTCATAAAAATAGCCCCGCGGCAGTAGAGTCTGACGCTTCCCCTCTCCTCGACCACCACCTGACCACCACGAAGCTCTGCAGGCGGCTTTCGCTCTAGCACCGCAAACGCAAAGCCATCTGACCCACATCCATCGGGAGCGGCCAACAAGGCCGGTTTCTCAGACTCAGAATTTCCGTCTGTTGCCACTAGAATGCAGCTTTGTAGACCTGAAGATATGAAGAGCAAGACTGTTTTCCACTTCGACACAGCGCTAGTGGGCTTATTAGCGCTTGCTTTGCTCTCTACTCATTTCAGCGTCCGCCTGGTTTTCGAAGGGCCTGAGTCAAAAGAGAATGGACTTGGAGTAATGTAATATTCACATTTCTGTATTCATTGATGGTATGGGACATTCCCAGTGTCGGCTCTAGGCATGGGCAGACCGGGCGATCGCCCGAAGACCCATAAGGTCCGGAGGAGCCCAACGATGTGAAAAATTATTTTTAAAACATTGAAAGAGAAATAAGTAAAAAGTAAGTAATATAATGATTGCAAACCGTTGACAAAAATTAACTTTATTAAATAATGATCACATTTCAATTTTTATCTGTTTCAGATAATGAGATTTTCTTTTACTTTATGTATGTGTCTATGAAATGGAAAAATGAATGCAATCAAATGATACTAATATTCTCATGATTCTACTGAAATCCATTGGTATAGAAATTCATAGGATAGGAACTCAATAGGTTCTACTTAAATTCATATTTATTATTTCTTGTATTTAATATGTAATATCATTAAACATGAAGTAATCACAATTATTTTAGCGTTTTAAGCGCAGTGGTCGTCCATAAATTGCATAACGCTAAAGAGGGGGTTGGGGTTTGAGGCAGCCTTACATAGGGGTAGGAGATATTAGCTAGAGTTACATAGTTTTTCAACATTTGCAGAAATAATTCCATTTATTTAGTCATACTAAAACATTAAGATATTGAAAATTAAATTAAAATATAAATACATTAAAGAAATGGTTATGTAATTGTTACAATAAATATAACTATTTTTTCATCAATGATATGCTGGTTGAATCTGTTAGAAGAAAATATTGAAAACTGATCTGTAGTATATTCTACAAAGAATCCGATTAAATTGACACAGTCTCGCCCATTCATCATCCACGAAAGCTCCACGATAGCATCCACGTCTCGCCTAAGCATCCTTCCTCAAAAATTGTCTCCAATCTTCTTTATACGATAGGTGCGGTCTGCATTACCAAGTAATTTTAATTATAATAAATTTTCATATTTTCAAATATTCATGAACACAAAATTAATACAAATTGTTTTTACTGTTATATAATATATGTTTGCTCTCTGTGAATAGAGGAGATGTTGTTACAAGCTTTACGTAATTATATAGGTGAGTTCAAGCGCACGTTGCATGGGGAGGGGGGATTCGAATTACTCCAAATTTGCTTTACGTAATTTATGGACGGCCCCTCACTATGGAAATTGAATTATTTGATCATTAAGTACTTATACTTAAAACTATTATTTACAATATATTTAAAAAAAATGTTCTAGCTTAAACGTTGTAATTTTTGTTTATTTGTTGAAATAAAGTAACACACGTAGTTTCTTGATATAAATTTCATCTTCTTATTGTGTTTGTGTGTGTGTGGAGGGGGGGGGGATACGTTTCAGTATTGCCCCGGGCCCAAAATTGTCGAGCTCCAGCACTGGACATTCCATCCCGGAGGGTGTCGAGAGCAGGTGGTGTGGGGCGCCAGGCCTGGACTGTCATGGTCTGGCCAGGCTGTGTCATGTCCAACCCACTCTGCAGAGTGGTCTATGGTCCTGACTTGAATTTAAAGAAGAATTTTCAAAATCGCAGAGCTTCGAGTCGTGCAAGATCGACCCGGAAATATTTATTTTGGAAAAAATCCTACTAGTAGACTAGTTTAGGCGCTAGAGTTATCATAGACGGACAGCCAGCCACCCAGTCGGACGGAAAGACATTTGAAAAATAAACACTTGTTTGGCATCAGGGGACTCACGATGTGTATTTCCGTTGAAATCTCAAAAGCGATTTTTCACAGCATTACATAACTTCCTCTATATTACGTATATTATTTCGTATAAAAATACGTATACGATAAAATAACTAGTGGTGCTACAGTATGTAACAGACTTTCTCGTACTAACTACTTTTCTAATTTCTTTAGTCTGCGCAAGCTCATACGTTTTGCCGTATCAGTGTCCATCTATCGCGGTCCAAAGTCCTTTTTTCCCTCAATGTTTCGGTTTCTTTTGAAGAGAACTAGAGTATGACTTTAAAAATATTATAGAAGAGTTAAACCTCGTTATTTAAGGAAAGTGTCGTTGAAACATTTATTTTTTGAAGAAAATTGGCTGAACGGTTTAAGGCGCTAGCGTTGACCACAGACGGACAGACATACAGTTTGTTTTACCGTCAATCATTTTGCGGTATCAAGGACCTACAAAATATGGACTCTGGCTACAACACGTATTAAAGAATTTTTACTTTCTCGCATACGTGCAAATATACGTGATATAGAGAAAGTTATGTGATGCTGCGGATAATCGATTTCGAGATTTGAATGGAAATACACGTTTTGTGGTCCCCTAATACCGAAGAAGAGTTTTTTTCAAAACGTCCGTTCGTCCGTCTGTGAACACCACCAGCGCCTAAACCATACGTACGTTTTTGAAAAACTTTCTTTAAAATTTGGGAGTACTTTACATGAAGCCCCCGGACATTTTCAGAATTTTATCAAAAACGGCTCCAATTTCTTTTAAAATTTCTTGTAATATTAGAGAAAAATACACCTATAAAGGTGGCATGCATCCAATTTACACGGTTAACTATGAATTTTCGAAAATTACAGAAGTTTGCATTTTTCAACGTCTTACTACAAAATCGAAAATAGAGATTTTCCTTTCAAATGAAATTTGTTGTCCATAACTTTTTTCCTTCATTAAGATCACGGAAATTTTCTTGAAACTTTTAGTAGTTTTCGCGCAATATTTGCAAATTAAAAAAGTACAAAAACAAGATTTTCTCAAAATAGGCTCCAAATTATTAATAGGAATAGTGCTTGGTGTACTCTATAAGATGGCATTAATGGCCTTTTGCTCTATTCTTTTGTTTTTCAACGGCTCCTAATTTTTACTTCAAACTTTTCGTACTGCTAGTGCTAATTGCACTCTTCAAGATGACATAAAGTTAATTTTGGGATATTCTTTTTTTTTAAAAAGTACTCTAATGATTTATTATTTTGAAAGAACTCTGATGACTTTAATATGCACATTTACAGCGATTTGTAAGCATTTTGCATTTGTGAGTTGAAGTGCTTCAAATGACTTCGAATAAAGTTTTTCGAAATCTCAAAACTTTTCTATGAAAATGAGCTTCAAATTTTGTATCTATATTAACGCTTAAACGCCATTTTCTTAAAAGCGGCTGCAAATTTTTCAATGAAAATTTCCATTTAGGAAGAGGTTTCACTCTTCTTTAATATTCTTAACATAATATTTCGGTTCTACTATTAGGAAACCAAAAAATTGAGAAAATGTTAAAGAAATGTACTTTTGGCGGCGCGATAGATGGCAGCTGGGGTTAGTCCGTAAAGTTAGTCCTTACCAAGGAAATAAGAAAACTTTACTACGAGAAAGTCTGAGCCAATCTGTAGCACCACTAGTTACTTTCTCCTATACGTACAAATATTTGGAGTAATCCCTATATAGTATTTGAGTGAAACTCTGAGTGTGCGGATGTGAGCTTGTGCGGATGTGCGGTTCCGTCACTCATAGCTAGATTACTTTCCGGGCACCAATCGAGGCGTATGAAGATTTTATTCGACGCGACTGAGACACTAGATGGAGATCTGATAATTTGTTTTCGGATCCGGCCATTAGATTCAAAGAAACTTCCAAAATATGTTTTTGTCGTGTTTTGACGCTTTGATCTTAGTGATAACTCTAGGAATGAAACCAACCCCTCCTAAATCGATCTTTGTAGGTGGCGTTGATTAAACCCCAGTACTCCGTGGTTATTTTCAGTTCACATCATAATTTTCTGCAATGAGGATGGCAACACTA